ATCCGTGTTTCGAATCATGTGTTGCGAAAACTATAAATGTTTAATGTGATTAATCCTAACTCAATCGGAAAAAAATCAATTCGTATGAATTTCAATTTAGTTGACAGTCGTTTCACATTTCTTTACAAAAAGTAGAACCATACTTGAATAAGAAATTTTTGAAACTCATATTGAATGAAAAAAAGTTACGTACCATCCGAACGAGAAATCAAGAGCCCTCTTGGCAGCTTCTTTACAAGCAGGAGTGTCATATTTTGGAATCATCCAATATGTTTGAATGGCCATTCCAATGGTCCCTCCATGAAAACTCTGATTTGACAAAAGAGACAATTAAAAATAGGAATATGAAAAACTTTAAGAAATTGAGTTTATTGGAAGTAAAAATGATTCATCGTTAATATATAAAAATATGCATGATTTAATCTACTGCTAATTAGTTTTAAATTGAGAATCTATGATTATTATAAAATACGTTAAAATTTTAGTTACCAATCGGAACTGATACAAACAAAAAATTGAAAAATTCTAAATCTCGAAAAATACTTTTTAAAAAAACAAAAAACCTGATACTTCTCTCTATAGAGTTGGACTGCAGCAGCATGAGAGAGGATCAAGTAATGAGCCACGAGGTATGGCTCAGTGGCTGAGTTTCCGATCGTACAATTCCCGGCATAGCTCGAACAATGTCCCGGAGCCATCAAACCACCACCGTAACCAAACATTGCGAACATGTTAGGTTCGTTGACTGTGATCCACTCTTTCACTCTATCTCCAAACGCTTTGAAACATATATCCACATATTCTAGAAAATCTTTCCTGTTCAATCCTAATTTTCTTTCAGAATAATTTTATTTTGCTAGCTATAAGATTTTGTATTAAAGTCTTTAGCAGATTCTTACACGATTTGTGGATTTAAGAATCCGCCATATTCATCTTCAAGTGCTTGAGGTGTGTCCCAGTGAAATAGAGTAACCAAAGGCTTTATTCCTGATAGTTTTTTTTTTTTTTACAGAAACAAAAAGTAAAATAAAATTATATGCTATTATATTTAGAAAAAAAAATTCATTGGAAATATTATGGAGAATATAATTACCCCAAGTAGATGTTATATATCTTAATACCAAAAAGTAAACTCTTTTTCCAAGTGTATAAATTTAAAGTTGGATACATATATAATTTATTAATTTTAAATATTACATGCAATATTTTTAATAGGTGCAATATAAATAGTGCAAAACTGACAATTTCTGATTGAATCACAGGCTAAGCAACGTTATCTCTCATAATTTTCTCTTTAAAAAATAAAATTTCCTTATTAAATTATTAAATGTATAAACAATAGTTGATATTCTTGAATATCTTTCATTATCATGGTTGTAACGTGGGAATACTATATTGCTCGAGAATTCGTGTTTTGTATCAATACTAAAGATTGACTGATTAAGTCTTATCCACTATGTTTTCATTAGCACTATAAACATGTTTTTAACATGTTTCTATATTAGCATTATAAACATGT